TTCAGTTGTTTATAAAGGATACCAAAACAAGCCAATTTTGTCAATAAACCCGTGTCCGCAAATGAGCCGTTTTGGCACTAGAAAATCAAAGACTAAGAAGGACAAAAATAGTTGAAAAAAATTATTTTTTCAAAATTTTATTAATGTGGTTAAATAGAAGTGTTTTTACCATGAAACTTTTGTATAAAACATTTTTTGATATCTCGAATAATTTTCAAGATATATTGAAAAAAGCAGAAAGCAGCTCTACATATGAGGGGTGATTTCATCCCTTAGAATTGTTTTTGGGCCGCAACTGGAAATTTCTAAATTCACCCCCCCCCCCCCCCTACATGTGTGTAAAGTTTCATTAAAATCAGAATTTTCGGATTTTCGAGGTTGTTAGTCTTTGATTCTCTAATGCCAAAACGGCTCATTTGTGGTTTATTGGCAAAATTGGCTTGTTTTGATATCCTTTATAACCACCTGAAGTTTGTCGGTCTAATTCTGGAACACCCTGTATAATCGCGCGGTAAAAGTTATCTATTTCTATAGATACAATGAAAAAGAAAACATTTATATCCGTCGAAAACATTTCTATCTGTTTAAGTTTAAAATATTTATAACTAATTATTATTTTTTACAGAGAGCGACATTGATCCGTATATGTATCGTATCTTGTGCAGAAATGGAAGTTTGGCTGAATTTCCAGGATTTAAATTTGACGAATTTTGCGCATTATCAGTGACAATTGATAGCGAAGTAGGTGCAATTTTTTAAAAATTATTTGATATACAATATTAATATATGTGCATATGTACGTGTGCGTGCGTGTCTGTGCATAAAGACGAATAAATTGCAATGTTCTTTTAGCTTGTTGGTCGCAAAAATGATACGCAGATTTCTAGGACGAATACTGTCTTGGCTTTACTCAAAATAGAAGATTGGCTAGGATATCGCGTGAGCCCTCGGAGACCAATTCGCATTTATGGCCCATTCAACAGCACGCTAGATCTCCTGTTCAAAGATTCCACATCCGGTTTAGTTACTACATCATCGACGAAGAAATCAGTGCTTGCCTATAAAGAGCTATTTAGTCATGTAGACGAATGCTCGACTGGTTCGTTTGTGGCCACTACAAATTTTGTTCTTGTTGCTCTAATTACCCTTTATCACTTTCTTTTCAATCACATACATTAATCGCATTATTAATAATTAATTCAAATTTGCACGCGATTGTCATATACTTTCAATTATAATTATTAAATATTGACCAACTTTTATACCATTTCTAGAAGATAAAAGCGTTACCGTTATATTTCTGTACGTTGCAGAATAGAGAATAAAGACAAACATTATTACTTTTCTATTCATCGAAATTTCCATTTATTCTTTTCTTAACCTTTTTAATGCACATATGTGTATACATATAGTATTTCTTTATCGTTCGAAGGCTTCTCGTTACATTGGACAAGAAAATTTGTGTTTTTGAGCTTTGATATGTATACTATATATACGTATAATGCAATGAAAGTGTATGTATATATAATTATATAGTTATACAGGGTGTCCCCAATTTAAATGTCAAAACATTAGGAGCGTGTAGGGGACCGATTTAGTTTATCGGTCCTCTACACGCTCCTAAAGTTTTGACATTTAAATTGGGGACACCCTGTATATACAATATACATATACGCATATGTGTGCGTAAAAAGGAGCATGACATTGGCATCCGCACCGGCATCGTATTGCATCACGATTCGATCCATCGCTTGATTTAATAATCAAAATTTTTGGGGAAATTTTTATTACATTTTGATCATTGTTTATACATTTACTACTAAGACCATCGTAGCTAAATCGGTTCTTCGGCCGGAATCAAGAGCATATGATATTTAAGTTGCCAAAATTATTTATCCATCTTTGACTTTATCAAAACGATTGCCTTTAACCACATAGCATTTTTTATGCCTTTGCTGTATTTAATATTCAAATTTTTTCAACTCTTTGTTTAATTGTGCATATCTTATCATATTTCTTAGATACATTTTAAGTTAAAAATATAAGCCTGTCCACTACAAAGTTATAATTTAAACACAAGTAGTACACACATGCACACACACACAAATACAAAGACACACATATCCAAATATATATAGAACTGTTAGTTTCTTAAAGATCAAAATCAATTTGCTTAATAATAAGTGTAATAAATAAATAAAAATTATATTGTGTCTTTTCTAATTTTTTGATAATTAGAAGTAGTTAAGATTTTGTAAAAAACAAATAGTCGATTGTGCATCTTTGTGTTGAAGCATTTCACACACAAATCCGCATTCTCATTCTAGTTCGCTTTTTCAAAAACTCGTTTTGTCAAAATTGTTTGATCGCTCACTGTCTACATTTTATATATTGCATATTGAGTCCTTTTTTTGTCACATTAACGTCGTCAACGTGTTTGTTTAGCGTCAACAGCTTCAATTATCCTTTGAAATGTGATGGCATCAAGGCCAGCGAAAGATCTGTCAGAAGACGCGAGCACGCGCGGAAGCGAACGACGTCTTCTTCGTCGTCGTCGGCGGCGAAATATATCGTCAAAATAATCATCCGTGGTCGGTGGATTCACCTTGGCATAGTAGAGCGCTGCGAAACCGCTGTAAATTAGCAAAGCCGCAGTCGCGAGCTGATGCAAGAGATAGCATGTTATTAAAACACAATCAAATAATTATTAAAAAAAGAATTGAAACAAATAAATTTCAACTTACCTGAAAAACGGCCCAGAATTTGTAACTGCCTTCGTTTATTAAAAAGTCGTAATAGCCGGCCCAATAATCAGCCTTAGGTTGACTGATTGCCTTCATGTGATCGTCCTCGTCATCGTGATTCATGGCCGTATCATCGCCATAATGATCTCGGTAATCGGTGTTGTCTCCTCTAGTATTGTAATCCTGTCTGTAAACCTTACCTTGTCTATAAACAAAATGTGGCTTGGCATTAATTTAAGGTATTGTTTAATTTTTATTTTACATTGTTTTTTGTATATTAAAATCTCAACAATTGCTCGATTAATATGATTAAAAATTAAAGTAAATGATGTTAAGAACAATATATAAAATTGAAGTTATATGCTTACCTGATAGGCTGCGCAATTGTAACTAACTCAAGATTTTCTTTAGATGTTCCTGTTTTCGAAATCAATTCTTTCATATCCTTGATTTCGCTCGATTCGGCAGAGGTGTAATAAATGCAAATTAACAATAAAACAAGTTTATGAACTAATCCGTTGCTTACTGAATCTGAGAAATTAAGATATCCATATAGTAAAAATATATATAATTTATAATAAATATGTAAAAATATAATAATAAATTTGTGAACATTTTTTCTTACTGTAATTAAATACTGACCCATATTAATTTTTAAAGTATATTGTGCGTTTTGCTTTTTAATAAACACGATGGACACCATCCCACTTTAACAATATACTGTCACTCTCACACATAGAACTCTCATTAGTTGAAAATAACACAATACAAAGTTTCGAAGCGGAAAACCTTTAGCTATCAAGTCTGTCGAGAAACTAAACGATTCCTGGACTTAGTTTCAATACCAACTTTGTTCGGTATTTGTGAACCGATAACTGTATTACTTGACGGTAACGTTAAGCAAATCCATAAGCGCTAATAGCTCTAATTGTTACAGATCTTGTGCATCGTCGTTTAGAGGTGGAATCTGTCAATACGTTCAGCAGCATCGAATTTGATTGATGATAGCTTCCAAATAATGTTGATGATGTTATTTATAAGCCGCAAGATTCTTAAAATCACACATTAACCAATTATTAGTTACACGCTGTTACGTGTATTATTTAATACCCACTAAATACTTATAACTACCTATTTCCAGTTTAAAAAATCAATGCAGTATATCAGGGAATAGATCAGATCGTACATGTTATTTCCTATACAAGCGGCTAAGCAGAGAAATATGTTTGTTATAATCATTCAAATCTTTTTTATTAGCATATTTTTATACTTCTAATTTTGTTGAAATGATATTCTAAACCGATCATAAATTTTGTCCCTCTATTAACAATTGTTTATTCCATCTGCATATTGTTTAGAATTATTTTAGCAATATGTTGAAATATTCGATGTAGTATTATATGCGTGCATTATATAACGAAAGCTTAAAGAATCGAGAGTTCGCATGATCTTAAGAAATCTAAGCAAAAACAGGAATTTGGAAATCTAAGAAAATCGTATAATTAAAGTTATCGGATTACTTAACAATTTTATTTTTTATAATAATCCAAAAGATTTAATAATCTGAAATATGCCTTTGTAGTAATAATAAATTAATTATCAAATACAAAGTTGTTAGTACCTTGTTTATTTGTTTAAATAAATAATTAAACGAATAGACAAATCAATTATAATGCAAAAATAATAGGTGGAAATAATAAAAACAATTATGTATCGTAGCTATAAGAGTGTACAATTTTCTTTTTTTTTATCTCTCTCTTTCTCTCTCTCTCTCTTTTTAATTTATCTCAAAACACAAGTATTAACTTAAAACTAAACAATATAATTCCACATTTAGATGATTTCTATCATTGATTAACATATATTGGTCTAAGATATCGTAAGTTATATATATATATATATATATATATATATATGTGTAGATGTAGCATAGAATGTTTCCTCTCAAATTAATATATTTTATAAGCAAAATTATAATATATTTATCAATGATAAACATCATCTTGACGATACGTTTTACGTTTAATAAACTAATTTCTATCAATTATTTGTTTATTGGAAATTGCAAATGCAATTTTTTTTTAATAGAAAAAGAAAACAACAATTATTTACACATGCATTGGTTCTTTTTCGAGACTTCCTCACTGATAATTTATCGTTGAAATAATATTATCAATCTTTCAAGTTTTTATGTTTCAGCAAATCGTTCCACTCCTTCAAGTATTTTTTCAGTAAAAGACCACCATCCTTCGCTCGAATCGCTTCTTTTATGAGTTGCAGCTTCTGCTAGATTAGCCGGAAAGTTGATCTTATGCCTGGCGATGCTTTTCAATACAAGGGCGGCTATGTATATGATAAAATAAATGCTAAAGTATAGAGGTATATACCAAAGCTTTTTTCCTATAAAGTAATACGAGTATGGTCTTTTGTCGAGTCGCTCATCATTCATTTCCGGTTCCTCCGTAGTGGTTTCGTGATGATGATATTCAGGTACGTTATCGTATATTATGTCGTGATGAAAATCGTGTTCATATGGATCTTGCTCCGTCTCCATGAATGAGGGCGAATGATCATAATAGTTGACAAATTTCGCGGGCTTTGATCCAAGTTCGTCATTTTCATACGAAGGAGGAATGTCGTAACTAAGATAGTCTGTTTCATGCCCGGTGTGATATTTATTCGGTGATTTATAGGAATCCAGAACCTATTTGATGAAACTCAAATTAGACATCTGATAAATATATTACAAGAAACGTATTTGATTATATACACTGCAGAATATATGCACTTTGTATTTTTAACATATTTATTTTTAATATTTATATTCTCAATTTTTATATAACTTTCAATGTCTTTTTTCTGCTCTGTTTCTTATTTTATTATGTATGTAATACATGTCGTTATTAGAATAAAAGTGAAAACCAAGAAAAAAAACCAAAATCATTCTTGAAAAATGAGAGATTATTTGGCCCCGTCATATTAAGAAGAATTTATTGTAGTAGAGAAATAAACAATAAGAAAAATACACAAACTTATTGATTTATCTATTAAGAACTAATATAATGATAAATATTGATATAAAATATTTATATTTACATACCTTTTTATCATCCGTAGATGGATATTTGCTAATTGGTTTAGGTATCAGTGATTCATCATCGAGAAATTCTGATGGACTGTATTCGTACATACCAGAGAAGATTGGACCAAGGAAAGTAGATGAATTTACGATTAAGGAGCTTTCTGTATTTGATGATCCTTTTTGCGGTTTTCCGTTTGCATACGCGATGTTATGCTCGAAATTTACAGGTGGATGAAATCGATGTTGAATCAATTTTTTGCCTGATGTAGCGTCTAGCTTGACTATCATGTCATTATCCAACGTGGAATATCTAAACATAACCATAATAGTTTATTAATAACAAATAAATTATCGATACATTTTTACTACCGTTATATTCGCATATATTAATATTTGAGTTTTTACTTTGGAGTGATTGAATAATCGACCGCTTCTCCTTTCTTTAATTTTGGAGTCCTGGGTGGTACGTAAACAGGCGATACTGTGATAACGACATCGTTTATACTTCTCTCTTTACTTTCGTTCTCCACGCTTGTATTATTTTTCATTGATAACCTAGGTATACAAACATTGCTTGATAATCGATTGTTTTTTAAATTAAATATCCCAAGAAAATATCTAATTGTATTTGGTTGCCAGTAGTAGTATTAAAATTAATCTCGACGTACCTAGTGATCCACGAAAAAGAATCGTGCGAACTTCTTGCTAACTGTCCGTTCTTCGATACTCTTGCGTATGATAATACTTCCGATGACGTTGTGACAGAAGACAGATGCAGGAAGAAAACCAAAGTTAAAATACGTAACATACTTGCCGATAGTCGAAAACGAATGACTGTGGTCTTGAAGCGAGTACCTTCTATATAGACTTATAACTGTTAAACTGTATAATTACTGTTTGACCAGTCGCAAATGTATTGTCTGCGTGCGTTTAACGTTGTTGCACAATTTTGGTCTTTTTGTTATTATATCGGTTTATGTGTTGTAGATAATATCTTTGTCATTGCACATTATTCTCAGCCAAAAGATGCAAGATTGTACAATGTTGATGCTTACGGTATTAAAGCATTATTTTACGACTATATATATATATATATATATATA